ATGATTCCCATCCCCCTTCGACCAAAGGGCCTTCAAGCCCCCCTTCTTCCGTTCCTCCTGTTTTTCCGCCTCCTTTCTCCCCCCCCAAAACCATCCCCCCCCTAAAAAGCCCCCCCCCCCCCCCAAATCTCCGTAGACCTTCTACATAGATGACTACCATCGACCATCGACCAAAGAGCCTTCAAGCCCACCTTCCTCCGCTCCTCCTGCTTCTCCGCATCTTCTCTCCTCGCCCTCCTCCTCTCCTGGTCGATCTTGTTGAACCGCTCGATGGTGTGCTTGTGCTCATCCGGGTGGTAGCCCAGCCAGCGGTCCCGCTTCGCGTCGAAGGACACCTGTGCAGGGCGAAACAAACAAAAAACATTTTTTAACACAGTTCTTGCTGCTGCTGCTGCTGCTGTTGGTGGTGGTGTTGGCGATGTTGGTGATGTTGGTAATGTTGGTGTTGGCGTGGCCTGTGCTGTATGCACGTCATGCCCACTACGCCGCCAACAACACTCGACACGTGCACGGCACATACAGCCAGTAGCCTCGGCGAGAACATTCAGCTTGGTTTTAGTAGTTGGTACGGAGTTGGGTTTTAGGGCTAGGAATAGGGATACGATTCCCCCTCTCCAATTCCTACTTAACCCCCCCCCCTCTCTATTCCATATTTAGATCAATAATATCTTCGTTAAGGCGGCCCCGTACGAGCACACCTTTCCGTGCGAAGTGAGGTCGGTCTGGACGTCGTCCGCGGCGATGTCCATCCCCGTCTTCATCGCCGCCTTCTTGCCGCTCCGAGGCCGTTCCACACACTCGGAGGCCTTGTGTCCCATCGCGCCGCAGTTCTTGCAGGCACCCTGCACCGCACGGGGGAAGTTTTTTGGCGGATTCGTAAGTGATTTGCTGGGAGGGGGGGGGGGGGGGGAGTCCTAAAGAGGGTAAGCCCGGCTGCAACCCCACGGCTGCAACTCCACGGCTGTAACCCCACACAGCAGTACACGAACTCCAAAGTGGGGTTGAGCACCTCCCTCCCTCCCTCCCAAAATAACCCTGCCGAAAATCATCCATCACCGGCCTTGTCACCGATACATGTAATGAAACGACAACAACAGCAAACAACCACGCCCAGTAGACGCACCTGCTACACGCCTATAATTCGACGCTTCTGTATATCCCGATACGCATCGATCCGCCCGGCGCCTCACCTTCCGATACCCCGTGGCGGCCTTCTTCTTGGTAGCCCAGCGCTGCTGCACGAGCTCGTCCGCCTTCTTCATGGTAAGCACGGCGTCAACCTTTTGCTTGCTGTGGTGCACCAGGGAAGGGCCGGACTCTCCCAGGTACCACGGCCGCTTGGTGATGAACTCCGGGTTATGGGGGTTGATCATCTTGCCTGCGGTGGAGGATACCACATACATGGTTGTTGGTGTTGTTGTTTTCGTCACCAAGTACTTTCTAACATCAGTAACGGCTCCAACTGACGCGGAAGCCTGGCATGAACCGAGTTGAAAAGCTCGATTACTTCCACGACCAAGAGATGCTGCCCAAATCAAATGATACGTCTCCCATGAACCGAGTTGAAAAGCTAGATTACTTCCACGACCAAGAGATAGCTGCCCAAATAAAATGATACGTTTTAGGAACGCTCTCGACGAGATGTTCCCAACGTCTCCATTCTCGGCACAGCAGTTGCTACTCTTCTGCAATGTGACGGAGCTTTGATAATTGGTCTACCTAAGACGCTGTGGTATCTTGAGTCATGACTGTTACATAATAGTCATGACACACCAGAGGCCATTGCTTTTCATATGTACAGCAGCATGTCGTCTTTTTGGGGTTGGTGAGCTTTCATGACACGGCGACGATTTCGGTCGCACATTGCCGAAGAACCCGAAAGCGAGAAGCGACAACAGAGTCGAATCAAACAACCTCGCACTCTCCGCCAACTCTTGCTTACAGCAATGAGGCTCCTGCAAGTCGTCCCAAAGCGATTTAAAGGAACAACTAAAGTCCTCGGGCGCGCTATGATCAACCGGCATGACAAGCAACTTTACCACATTTTCCACACAAGCATGTCGCACCTGTCTCCGTGTCCATCTCGGGCTCGATCTGCCCGGCCTCACGGGCCTGTTGGAGCTGACGCTCCTGCTTCCGGGACGCCATGGCTGCTGCGGGCTCGGTACCTCAGCCGACTTCACCGCCGTGTACAACAACACACACAGCGAGAGAGAGAGAGAGGCAAAGGGTACTCGATTAGCCAAGCTTGCACGTCTCTTCCGAGATCGAGAGGGTCAGTAGGGGTGGAAGCACGCACACACGCGGCGACCCTGTGTGCGTGGTGTCTTGGGATTGCGCGAACACAGCGAGAGGGGCAGGAGACGGGGGGGGGGGGACACCTGCTTGCTGTGGTAAAAGCTCAGGGAATGACTTGACCCCTGACACACATATCCTTACCTTCGGTTCTGGAGCTCCTCTGCAGGTGCACTGACGTTCTCCACCAACCTTCGCGCGGACGGGGGGTTCGTCCCTCTCTTATCTACGTCCCTCTTTGCCTCGGCTCTCGCCCTCTGCGGGCAACAGGCAAAGCAAGCCTGTGAGAACCAGGGGCTACGCAGCAGTAAACTTGGTTTTGGAGGGGAGGGTGACCTTCCTTGTCCGGCATTTTAAGTTGCGCCGCATTTTGAAGAGCGCTCAGCACCGACAGTAGGCCTGTGCTCCGTAGGTGATTTTTTTTTCTTTTTTTCGGTGATTTTTTCCGATTGCCAAAAAACAATCGGTGATTATTCTAGGTGCACTGAATTTTTTTTCGGGGAAAATCGGCGACAAAAATAAGAAAGGGTGAGAGCCAAGAAAGATTTTTCGGTGCTTTTCGGTGATAATTTGAAGGGTAGACTGCCGAAAACGTTCTTCGGCGATGTTCGGCGATGTCTTTAAGGATCGTAGGAAGTACTCCACATGAAAACGTTAAAACGAACTCTGGTGTTCTTTTACGTATACCACAAGTGTGTCCGTCCTGTGTACCGTGTGTGGTGTCTGCAGCGCGGTGCTTGGGTTGTGTTCGCTGTGTGCTGTGTGCTGTTGGCTCTGCTGCTGTGCTGCTGCGCTTGAGGGGGGTATCTGATGGGATTTGCGGGGTACGGCCTGTATACACGGAGCCCCCTAAAAAAACGGTGACAATCAGTGAGGCGCCTCCCGTTTTCGGTGATCGGCCACTATTTTTTCGGTGATTCAAATTCCTCACTTTTTTCGGTCAAGTTTTCAAAATTCGGTGCTTTTCGGTGATCACCTACCGAGCACAGGCCTAACCGACAGGCAGCCAGCAGCCAGAGCCAGCCAGCTGCACACACGCTGACCTAACGCACACCACGTGTGCTTCGGCTTGCCTCGAGACGAGAAGCGTGTGATGTCGACTCTGTTCGCTAAAAAAAACAACTCTTCGGGAAGGAAGCGCCCTCGTCCATCCGCTGGAGAGGGAGGACTCGGTTCTGCTGCTGCCTCCTCCAGCAAGGAGGTCGTGGATGGCGCTGCTTCAAAGACGACCAAGGCGGGGTGAGACACTTGCTGCTCTCTTGGCGTACAGCAGTACGATTATCTCGGCTTGTGGTGGATTCGCTGACAGCTCTGTGGCAGTTCTATTCGTTGGGCATACATAGATGCAGGGAGGGTGGTGACGCAGAGCGACACTACGCTACGCGTGGTTGAGGATGCCCGTGTTTGGTGTGTGCAGCAGCAGTGTACGGGCAGCCTTCGGTCGTCGGCAACGAAGCGATCACCGACGTCCGAAGTACTGTAGTATACACCGGTTTGGTGTTGGCTGTATGGCGTGGAACATGCCGTAGTGAGTTGGGCCATGGTTTGCATTCGCCACACGATGATGTGCCGTTAGATGTCGATCAACCGCCGATGGTGGAACACGGCATTATCCCATGCGGCATGATTACAATTGCTGTCTGCCGGGACTTACCCCTCCCTTTCAGGTAGCTGCTCCCAGCACGCCAGCATCTAAATCAAGGGTGTACCACTGTGGCCGATCGCGAGCATCCTAACAATACTGCGGTACCTTCCCTTTCAGTTGTCACCCTGAACCTCGCTACGTAGGACCAACTATGTATGTTACCGCGGTCTCCACCACGGGACATGCTGTCCTGGCTGTCGAACGTCGTCGTGCACCGGTACGTCTTTTCACGTAACAGAAAAAAGTGCTCCGTGTGGTAATGACAGATAGCCTTGGTCGCAAGCACTTCATTGCCGCAGTTCTCCCCTCTCTCAACGACGGTCGCACAGGACTGGAGATAGCGATGTTCCCGGAGGATCGCAAGCCACCACTAGTCGCGGTGGCAAGGGTAGCCGCGAGAACGGCCACGATGTTGATCCCAACCTCTCCGCTGGAGCTTCCCACCCGTCAGCAGCCGACGGCAGCCGGAAGGCGGAAGTAGCAGCGGAGGGGGCGGTGCTAGAAGAGGAGGCGACCTTTGAGTCGCTCGGGCTGTGCGATTGGCTGCTGACGGCTTGCAAGGCCATGGGCTTCCGAAGACCTACTCCCGTTCAGCGACACTGCATCCCTGCGGTGAGGGGAAACAAACACACGTTGCCGCATCTCGTCACGAATCTTGTTTTACACGGCGAGGTTATTTTGCAGTGAAAAATGCCACCTTTTTGTGTACCACCACTCTCGGTTTCTATACATGCAGGCGTTTTGAATTTGAACGGGATCTTAACCCGTCAGCCACTCTCCTCCCGGGAATCCAGGCACGTCCCTGTCCTTGCTTTAAATGGTAATCTTTTTGGCTTCCCGTGAATGATCTCGTTGCGTTTTCTCTGGGCGGAGTGTATCTGCCGGTCCTTCCATGACTCTGTCGGCGGCAAGTGTGGGCAGGAGGCGGTGGGTTACGCGGAAACTTATCTGCTCCAGAGATATATCCTCTTCATACCTTCACGACTGATCCATTTCGTTTCATAGTAGTAGTAGCGCGACCCCACGTTCTTCCCTCTCTCTCTCTCTATCTCTGTCTCTCTCTCTCTCACGCACATGCACACACACTTTCTCCCTCTCTTGCCATCCGTCGCTCAATCCTTCAGTTTCCGTACGGCAACCAATATACCAGGCACAATACAGAAGAACCTGCTCGTAACATTTCCAATCCCCTTTCTCCAGGCACAAAAACTCGTCGTGTTTCGTTGAAACCCTGCCGGCCTTGTCTTTCTATCCCGGGGCCCTCTCTTTCCGTCAGGTTTTAGAAGGGAAGGACGTCTTGGGGTGTGCGGAAACGGGTTCCGGCAAGACCGCTGCCTTTGCACTGCCAATACTTCACGAGCTCAGCAAGGACCCCTACGGGTGAGGAGCTGAAACGGCAGTGTTTTATGGTGGTCTTCCCGCGTAGGGGAAGGGGAGCGTCGCCGAAACGTGGCCGTGATTAAGTTGACTGCGGCGTGGGGTTGTGGAGATAAGATCGGTTGGGTGCAGGGCACAACGCCACCTTGCCGTAGCTGCTCATCTCGGTTGAGCTCAACAAGGACCCTCACTGATGAGGGGGGCACAAGGGACCGTCGCGGTTCGAAGCAAGTTGCGTCTGGCCTTGATCTCCGCGAGAGAGGAAAAAAGAAGAACAGCAGTACACACCTAAGATGGTCAACATGGGGTAACCTATATGCTGGACTGGAAATCGGTTTACGTTTGTTCGTGTTGGGTGTACCGTGCGTTACATAAGATACCACCCCCCTCGGACTGTTTTTCAAAGCTCGACTATTCTGCCGCAAAAAGAGTAGTGTTGCCGAAAATGATGGCGTCGGAATCGCCTCTTCGTGAGCTTTCCGAAATTGCACCACGTTGGTTTGGCCATCCTCTTCCGAGCTTGAAAAGCGAACCCACCCAAGGGGTGTGGTATCTGCTGCAAACCACGGTAATTGCACTGCTGTATTGTCGGAACACGCAGCACACTTACGCCACGTCCAGTTTGCCTCCCTCTTTTTTCACGCGCCAACATCGCACGTCCTTGTATCGCGTGCAGGGTGTTCGCGGTCGTGTTGACCCCCACGCGAGAGCTAGCGGTTCAGATTTCGGAACAGTTCGGCGCCCTCGGAGCGCTCATGGGACTGCGCCACACCGTGGTCATCGGGGGCGTCGGCATCTTGGAGCAGAGCTTGGCACTGTCAGGTGCGTCGGATGCCCGCCCTTCGCCTGAGTCGTTCTGCGTCTGAGCCCACGTCTGTGCAGTTTGCCTCCCACCGTTTTTTTCAAACTATGCCGGTTTTTGGTGGCAGACTCGCTTAGACTTGCGCTGCGCGCTCTCTAGTGGTGTTGTTGTTGGGTCGCACTCCTCCAGTGGTTGCGTTGTTTTCTGACACACCCGTGTTCATGTGGTTATGATAACTGACCTCTCGTACGTCCATGTATGTGTGCGATTGTATGCAGTGTCATTGTCCCCTTGTATAGTCTTAGATGCCGGAACGCATCGAAGAGGGGTGTACGTGTGTATGGTTAGTCGTTGGCTCGCTGGCCAACCCACTCTGGTGTCCTCGTTTAGGCGCTTCCTTCATGGAGGAATGATCCGGCGCCGCTGAGTGTATAGTCTACATTGAGTGCGCCCGTGGTGGCCATGGTCCTGCCGAGCGCCTTTAGCCTGTCTTGTACCTTCGTGCCAGACGTTTCGAGGAAGGAAGCCACACCAACAGATGCAGCAGCATCCAAGAGCTTTTGAGGACGCGGCTGCGATCGTTCGCCGGCGTCTTCTAGGCAGGAGCTCGCTGCCGTTTCGAACGCCGTACGGGGTAAAGCCTCTCGTGTATCCGACCCTCCTCTCGACCGAACGCTCCTTCTGGAGATGATGACCTTCGCTCTCTCCTTGCCCTTCCGCGTTCCTTTCTCTGCCTTTATTGAAGGACGGCCCCACGTCGTAGTGGCGACCCCAGGGAGGCTGCGCGACCATTTGCAAGGACCGGCTGCGCCGGCCTTGGCAAAATGTCGGTGAGAAATGGGGGGGTTTATACTCCTGTGACATTATTCTCGCCTTGTTCCATTAGACCCCCGCAAAGCTGTAGCGGAGGACGCTGGGGTTTCCACACAGGAAATATTGGGGGGCCCGCGAATAGGGGGGGGGAGGGCGTACTCATGTTGGTATGGCATACCTTGACGGTTAGACCATTGACCACGCGTCCTCAAGGGGACGGAGCGTTGTTTCTACGCACGAATAGTCATGTATACCGTCACGAAAACTGACGTTTTTTTTCATTTTGGTCAGTCGGTTTGTGTTGTCGATGCAAATTTTGGCAAATAGTTTGAAGAAATACACGAAAACAATCCGACTCCTCCTCTACCGTGGCAGGTACCTGGTTCTGGATGAAGCCGATCGTCTCCTTGCACCAACATTTGAAGGGTGAGAGGAGAGAGGCGGCGGATAGACGGCAAAGTTGTTCTAAGTACATCGCAGTACATCCTCATGCTCATGATGTACCTTGTGCCAGCTTTCCGAGCTTGAGCGGTGATGGAATTGTCAGGAGGGGGGGTGCTCACATTGCTGGTAGTATTTCCAGACGGCTGTGACAGGCGGAGAGATGGCACCCCCCGTTTTCGGACCTTCAAAGCTCGATTGCTCCACAGCCAAGAGGGTGCGGAAAGAGCCCGATACGTCTACGGAAATACCACGACGGGCTGTTTCAAAAACCACGTTTGTTGGGGTGCTATCAAACTTTGAAAATCGGTCTGGGGGGGTTGCCATCTTTGCGCCTCTTACGGTAGTATTTCTAGACCGCTATGCCGATGGGTGGAAATGCGGGTCAGATACAAGTAGTGACAAGCAGGCAGGGCGAGAGGGAGTGAAACACGCACCAAACACGAAAGAGCAGACAGAACAGATGATCGGTCACGAGTGTGTCTGTAGCGTAACGTTCCGACGAGAGCTCCCCTCGAGCAACCTCTTCACCACGACGCGCTCTGCATGCAATTGTCTGATCGTTTCTTCTTTGCTTTGTGTGTGCGGAACTTATGCACCGGACCATGGGGGCGGGAACCCTCCTGAGGCATCATGGAGCCGTTCTGGGGGGGTGATGATCATGTCAAGAGGTTTTCCCAAATCTACATCTTCCCTCTCCCCCCACCCCACCGCTTTGACCAGACCAACCCCACAGCGTGGCGTGTGATGCTCAAAATGTCACGCTCCGACCGCAGCAGTGTACGTGACGATGGTCGGTGGTGCCGTGTATGTCTCCCCCCCCCCCCCCCCTGTGTAGGGAGCTCCCGTGTATCCCAAAAACCCTGCCGAACTCCCGGCAAACCCTGCTGTTTTCGGCCACCATGACGTCCAACCTGGAAGCCCTGGAGGCCTTGGCCCTGACGAACCCGGTCAAGTATGACCTCACCAAGAAGGTGATGCGTTGGGCGGCGGTGTGGATTTTTTTTTCAGTCGCTTTCGCAGGGCTTTTGTATTAAGAAAACGTGTTGGATAAAGAACGAAATCTGGGAAGTTGGGGTTAGGGTTAGGGAATAGGGTCTGCGGACCCCCTTCCTGTTCTATTTCGTCATGATACTGAGTATCTCTCGAAGGCGGTCCATTTTTTTTTTTGCCGGGCATCTGATTCAAAGTGGTGAGAAAGACTACAAACGGCAAGAATGGCATTGTTGTTGTTGTTATTGTTGTTGTTGTTGTTGTTGTTGTTGTGTTTTTTTTTTTTGTGGTTGTAGTCACTGCTGCTCTGTTGCTACTATTGCAGTGCTACCTTGGTGCTGTCGAGGTTGTTGTGATGTGCCGGTTACTGGTGTTTTTTTTTTTTTATGATTTCTGTTCTTGCTGCTAAATAAACGCAGGTGCCATTGCTGTTGTACTGCCGCGGGTGTGGTCGCTACCATTCCATGTCATCACGGTTGTTTTCTTGCAATACACAGACGGTCCTTTGTGGAAACAGGCTGGTGCACGCACGCCGCCAATCATCTCGAGTAACCCCCTCCCGCACTGACGTCGATTGCTGTTCCACTTGGTCTGTCGTTGCAGGCGACGGTGCCGAAAACGTTGACGCAGCAGTACCTGTTCATGCCCCGGCAGATGAAGACGTGCTTTGTCGTTCAGGTGCTTTTTTTTCGAGCCTGCTCCCTCTGTTTCAAGTGGAATTGTCATCGTACGCACGTGTGCGCTGGTTCTGCCAGGCGTTGGACACACATCAATGCCCTCGAGTCAGAGTCGTTCTTCTTTCGCCTTCCTTTCGAGCTCCAAAGCTTTTGTGTTCCGTTCGAACCCTGTTCTTATGGTTCGGGGGTCGCTTGAGGCGTTGTTTCGATTGTTTCGCCAAGGATGCATTTGCCCCGCCCCTCGCCAGACCGCCAAACGCAAGTGACCCCTGAACAAGTTGGTTTGAACTCTACCCTAGTCTTCCATAGCCATCGACAGACTTGGCACCTTACCTTCCGCATTTTTCGTGTTTGTGTAGAGAACAGACCGTTCCCTTGGCCCAAAGACAAAAAGTAACATTCGATTGGCTGTTGTTTTGTTTTTTCATGTTTTTTTTTTCGGTGCCTTGCGTGCGTGCGGCAGACCCTTAACATGTTGGCCTCGGACAACCTCTGGAGCGACCCCGCAGACAGGAAGACCCGCAAGAGCAGGGGGGGCGCGGGGGGGTTGCACGACAACCCAGAAGCCGATGAAGGGCAAGAAGGGACCGGGGATGGGGACGGGAGAGCGCGCAGCGTCATGATCTTCGTCAGCAAGTGTCGCAAGTGAGGCGGTGTTGCTGTTGTTATTGTTGTTGTTGTTGTCGTTTGTATTGTCACAGTTGCTGTTGTTGTAGTCATCGTCATTGCTGCTGTTGTAGTCCTCATCATTGTTGCTGTTGTGCGTATAGCTTGTGGTGATGATATGCCTGTCTTTGCTCTTTGGCCCCTGCTGTGGGTAGTGGTGCCGTGGTCACCACGACAGGTGTCCACGTCAGTTGCACCGGTACGGACATTAGGAGGTAAAATGAGCCGGGGCTGGAAAGGGTTTTGCTGTGACGACAATTAACATCAGCAACGATGACAACACCAGTTCCGCCGAGAGGGAAACATACACCTTCAAGTCGGAACTCTCCCTTTTGCAGTCAAGAAAATCCGGACTGCAGGCCTACAACACACGAAGAAATTCGGCAGTTGGAGGAAAAAGAAGACGGCAGTAGTACCGACAGACAACGTCGCGAAACCCCTTGTTCCCCACCCCTCCAGGTGCCAAGAGTTGTCCGAGACCCTGGTGGAGCTGGGAGTGGATTGCACTCCCCTGCACTCGTTGCTGGGACAGCGCCGTAGAACAGCGGCGCTGGGAAAATTCAAGTCACAGCAGGTGCGCAAAATGGTCAAAATTCAAGCCACAGCGGGTGCGCAACATATCACAATTCAAGTCACCGCAGGTGCGCAAAACGGTCACAATTCAAAGCCACAGCAGGTGCGCAAAATGGTCACAACTCAAGTCACAGCAGGTGCGCAAAATGATCACAATTCAAGTCACGCGGGTGCGCGAATTTTATCTCGGTGATTTTTTTGTCTGTCTCTCCCCACAACCGAGATTCGCACGGTATTGACTTCCCCCGGGCTGGGTTGCCGAGGATGAGGTGGTTGTCCGGCTCCTCGAGTAACGGTACGGCAGACACTGCCGTTCGTTGTGGTTTGGGACACACCTGTTGCCGCCGTCCCTTGTTTCCGCAGGGGAGGCATGTCATATCCAACTCGCCAGCCGCCCACAAGCAATCACATTGCGATAGGTCCTCTTGGGTGTTGGTAGATGTGTGTGCGCGTGTGAAGTGAAATGGAGATACAGCGACGGACTAGTTATCGCCATACGCGCCCCCACCGCACCCCCCCACACCTGCCTCAAGGAACTCCCGATAGTTGTTTTTGGGGTCGAATCCCGGCGTGTTGTTTCGAGACGACTCAACACCCCGCAGTCGTCGCGTATGCATGCAGGACGCTCCGCTGCGAAAACGCACGCAAATACTTGCTGCTGCTATGCTGTTGGTGTTGTTGCAGACGAAAGTCTGAAGTCAGCACGGACGTGGCCTCTACAGAAACGCACGCGCCTACTGTTGTTGCTGCTGCTGCTGCTGCTGCTGCTGCTGCTGCTGTTATTGCAGACAAAGGTCTTGATCAGCACGGACGTGGCCAGCCGTGGGTTGGATATCCCCGCGGTAGACCTGGTGATCAACTTCGACGTGCCAAGAGTCGCCACGGACTATGTCCACCGGGTGGGAAGGACCGCTCGAGCTGGCCGCCGGGGCCGCGCCGTTTCCCTGGTGTCACAGGTGAAATAATGTAGTAAAAACAAGATAGTTGGGGAGTATCAGTTGTTTGGTCTACGAGGGTGTTGCTTGCTCATTTTCGGAACCGCCTTGCTTCGTGTGCAATAGCGATATGTAGCTTGGAACACGTCGTGACTGACGTGCTGGTGTAAGATAACGCTCTCGTGGCCGCGTGGAGCATGTGCCCTAGCGGGCGTTGTTGGTGCCGGCAATTGGTAATAGTATAGGGAGGATGGTGTGGTTAGATGGCTGGTAGAGGGAACTGGATGAGATGACTGGTGAAAGGGAATTTCAAGAGAGTGAACAGCCAGCCAATTGAGAGATAGGATGACATGTGCGTGGTGCATGTTCTTTTTTTGGAATCAAAACCTCAACATCAACCTGCCACGCCTAGCCCGATGCGAGCACGATAAAAGTTCGTTTTGTTTTTTGTGGTGTACTGTTGTGTCCAATGAGTGATAGCAGAGTCTCTGGAGGTTGAATCGTCTTCGTCTCATTGGCTGCTTCGGCCCTGGGTAGGTAATATTTGCTGCAGCGCTCCGCGACTCCGTGCCATTTTCACCCCCTCTACTATCCGCTCTATCTCTGTGTGCGATACCCCCAGTATCAGTCGTCGTAGTCTTTTTGGCTGCGTTGGCGCTGACTGGGGAGTTGCTTGTTGCAGCACGTTGCGGCTTTCATCTCATTTCTCCCCGCTATCAGTGCTCCGTCCTCTCGAGGACGCGTGGTATAACCGCTAGGGCATGCGAAACACGAGTACTCGCCCCCCCCCTCCGATTTGCCACACCCACAGTACGACATCGAGTTGGTCCACAACATCGAGCAGTACACGGGCACCCCTCTGGGGCTTTGTCCCGAGGTGGAGGAGGATGACGTGCTCAAGCTGCTCAACCAGGTGGCAAAGGCTTCAAGGGTGGCAAGGATGCGTCTCATGGAACAGGTGGGATTCTCAGACAAGCGAAACACGGACAGCGTCACTGGCTTTTGGTTTGCATGAGGCTCTCGGGGTGTGATCAGAACGGTGTGCTGCAAGTTCTGAATTATTCAGCCTAAGCCTCGGAGCGCAGCTGCCAAGTGCTGAACCATCGCGCTTAACTTATGCATGTATAGCTTGTGATGCCGTACCCTTTGCAAGCGGTTTTCCACCCAGGGGCAAACTTTGTCAACCTCGCCTTCTGGAAGAATTCGTTTCTAAGAGTTTTCTTCGGTTGACAAAATTTGTACTTCAAAGTACATTATTGGTTTTTCTGACAGAAACAAACAAACTTAACTTTTTCCGCAACGAGGATCGCGTTAGTATCAAGTCAAGGAATAGGAAAGATTTGTCGTTTCAAACTGCCTCTTTTCGTCTTTGTGGCCGAAACAAAAAACAGTAAGTGCGCCTAGCCCGATCGATGGTCACGTTAACCTTTCTCCCTTCACCGGCCCCTTTTATTCCGGAAACCAGGGGTTCGACGAGCGAGAGACCTCAATCAAGGAGCGTAACAGCCGTCAGCGAGAGTCCAAGGGCGAAGGACGCACCCACAGCAGCAGCAACGGCGGTGGGCGCAAGAAGGCCCGAAAGGGAGGGCCGTTGACAACGCCGAGCAAATCGCGATCGAAGAAAAAGAAGCGTGTTGCTGCTGCTTCTGCCGAGCCAAAGAGCGGCAAATAGCCAGATAGATCACTGAAGCTTCGGCTCGTTTGCCGTTGTCTGCGTCAAGACGCGGTAGTTGCAGGCGACATGCGAGGCGCTCTGAGGGTGCAACAGTTTGGGCGGCGGTGTCATGTTGGTGGAGCCAAGAGGCGCAGATTTTCAGCTGTGCCCTCAAGTATTGCGTGTCTTTTTTCGCGTTTGCAACTCTAGCGCCAGTCTACATCTCCTCTCGGTGTGAATTTGACGTATCAACCCGGGTCACGGACAAGGAAGGATCATCCAGGGATTTTTTTTAGGTTTGTCCAACCTTCCCCCGCCGTGCATCCTTCGATTTTGAACCTGCGACCAAGGGTTCAGCAGTCCCTTCCCGACTGTAGCGTATACTCAAGATTTTCTCTTACTTCGAGTTTGTCTTTTCCAAACGAAATTATTTGCTGGTGGCGAGGCAACACCTATCAAAAAAACTCTTTTACCAAGATTGATTGTGGCATTCTCTAGGTTTTGTTTTTGGTTGAACTTCCGCCGCTGGCGGAGGTGTTCATTGGCAGCGAGATAGAGAGGCGGTGTGTGTCGCAAGCTACATACAGTGCGGAAGTTGGTTTTGGTTATTACCCAAACGAAAGCTGAGAAACAACAAAAACAAACAATTTCAACACGGAAAAGAGCTTGGCAAAAGCCACGCCCCCCGAAAACCTCACGACACGCAGTCCATGGCCTTTGAGAGAGCCCCTTGTTGGAGGACCGTGCTGGGCACGCCGTCGACTTCTTCTGGCATACTCCGCCGGAGCATCACCGCTCTCCTTTTCGCTGCCCGGCTACTACATCAAGGTTATCTCGAGGAGGGCCACGCTGTCGTAGCGACCGCTCTCCCAGAGGGCGGGAGGGAGCACCCGCTGCGGGGCGTCACGGAGCACCCTGGCCTGCATGCCCCACTTCCTCAGCAAGGGTCTGATGGACCTCCGCGCGCTTCGCTCCTGGTAGGCCGTGAGAAACACGCCTCTGCTTCTGCTGAAAGGGCTCCCGAACGTTGGTGTGGTGTCAGCTGGTTCGGCGGAAGAAGTACGTTGCCCCTCAGAGCCAACGGTACCAGCAAGGGATGCAGCGCCGCCCCCTGCGGTATCACGACCCCGTGGGGTGGTCTCAGGAGCTGTAGGAGCAGCAGCTGAGCTTGTTCCGGTAGCGGTTTTAAGCGGAGGGGCAGTCGTAGTGTCATTGACGTCTCCATTCGCACAGTCGCCACCTCCATCAGCGCAAGTCATCGAGGACGAAGGAGCATCAGTGACGGCTGAGCTAGTCCCTGTAGTACTAGCCAGAGGGGCAGTTGCAGTGCATTCGACGTCTCCAGTCACCCCGCCCCCGCCCCCGGCAGTGGACGTCATCGAGGAGGAAGAAGAACCAGTTGCAGCTGAGGTAGTCCCAGTAGCAACAGACGGAGGGGCGGTGTTTGTGCCGTTGCTGTCTCTAATCACATCGCCTCCACCTCCAGCAGAGTAAGGCATCGAGAATGAAGGAGCACCGGTAGCAGCTGAGCTAATCTCCGCAACACTAGGTGGGGGGGAAGTTGTAGCGCCGTCGCCGTCTCCACTCGCACACCCGCCGCCCCCGGCAGTGGGCGCCATCGAGGACGAACCAGAGAGCAACATGAACGCTGTCGCCAGAACATCGTTAAAGTGCTCCGAGCTGTAGAACACGTCTGCCCCTAGCACCACCTGTGGCGGGGGCGGTGGCACGGGACAAATGAAAATATCCTTCACGACCATGGCGGCGCCAGCCAACATACAAAAAATACCAGGGAGAAGCGAGCCCTACACACGGCAGTGAGGGGGCGCGGGGGGGTTGATTCGAGAATTTTGAGGTCCGGTCCGATGGAGAATGGAAGGGCGAAGTAGAGAGGGATGCAGCAGCAGGTGCCACTCGCGTTTCAACAAAAAAATATCGAGCTCCGTCCCATAGACTCCATTCCGCACGGTCCGTGGTAGACCAAGAGAGGGCTGCAGTAACATCAACGTAGTTCCAGAAGCTGCCAACCGCGTGAACACGAGATGTGTAGATATCATCTCTTATCCTCGTCACACGTTGCCGATTCGTTGTTGCAGATTCTAACCCCATCGTAAACTGGCCTTCCAAGGCGTGAACCCATGTGTCGGACCATCCAACAATACGCCGCTACAACAGCCAGGATGCACGGCCCTCAACGTACACCGAAAGCTGTGCACAAGTTTGACTTGTTTCATGAGGTAGGCTGCTGCGTCTCCGAAGCAACTCAAGCAAAAAACAACAATTTTCTCCAATCCACCACCTCCCCCTAGAACGGGACGGTTCAACTCATGCCCCCGTGTCCCTCCATGCAAGGCTAGTGACGGGTGTGGCTTAAGATATCACACCCCCTGGACCGATTTTCAAGGCTCGAATACTCCACGACAAAGAGAACACATTAAACCGAACGATACGTTATCGGAAACGTCTCCATGAGACGGTTCCAAGGCCGCTATTTTCGGCACCACTACTCTCTTCTGCCGCGGAATAATCGAGCCTTGAAAAACGCTCCAGGGTGCGTGATGTCGTACGTCAGCTGTGGCAAGTACAGTGGCTTGCAGGGTCTACGTTTGCTGAGACTTGAGACCGAAATCGTTCGGAAAAACATCCACAAAATAGGACTAGGATTCTCTATCACCTGAGGGCGGCGCTCTCTAGCTAACTTGATCGCCGCCGCCCCGACGCTTCCCCAGGAGAGCCCCTGTACCGAACACCGTCCTAGCCGCGTCGCCCCACCGATACGCCCGTCTCTCGTAGCCCCTTTTTCCTGGGCTCTCGGGAACGACTCAGCCCCAGCCGCAGCGGTAGCAGCAGCAGTGCTGGGACCACTACCACCACCAGCAATGGCAGGAGCAGCAGCACTGACAGTGTCAGCACCGGCAGTTTCAGCGGCAGTGCCGGTGGCAGGGCTAGCGTCATCGGGGGGCCCGCGATCGAGCCCGTTTGCCGCGACGGCCCCTCGCATATTCTCGAGGACCCACGGGGCCTCCTCCCGGTCGGTGAGCACCACGCTGGCCCCTAGCTGCCAGGAGCAAGAGACAATTGACAAATGCGAGGCCCACAATGTAAGCAACACGGTTTGCAGCGCACGCAACAACGTTTCTTGACCTCATTGTACCAACGCAGTATACAGTCGCGCACGCGGTGTCCAGGATGCGCGTGTTGCCGTCGCAACTTGGCTCAGAGGCATTTTCGCTATCGCGCCGCACGGTTGGGGGGGGGGTCGTGATCGACAAGTGTTTCCCAGCGAGCCGTGCCCATGTCAGTCACAGGCGAGAAGCCCAGGATTGTTTTCGGAGGGGTCGGTCCCATGGCGTGTGAGAGGGGTTCGGTCGCGTGCACGCACCTTGGCGGCGAGCAGGCCAGGCAGCGCGGTTCCTGCACCGATCTCCACCACGCTCGCCCCGTCAAACTCTCGCCTCCTAGCCCAGACGAGGCACGCCAGCACTACCCCAGAGGGCCATGTGAACAACCCGAAGTCCTCCGACAAAACCTGAAGTATGGCGTGCCCATGGAATGGGGTGGCCACGCGGGCGGGTAGGGCTGGGCAGATGAGGGGTGAGGTTCATCCGACCGGGCGGGGCTGCCATAAGCCCCTTGATTTATCCGTCAGTCGCGAGTTATTTCTCCTCCCGAATGTTCCTGTTGTTCTTCCAACCGAAATTTCGTTGACACCCCTGCAGTCAAATCTCAGAATATCCACCTAATGTTTCTTGAGAGATGTTCCAAGCGAGGACGGTGAACAAGTGTGTTTGCGCTCACGATATACATTACCAGTCGGTACCACACTCGTGCAGTGAGGACCCTTTGCCAGGCTGCCCGTGCCCATACACTAGTAGCGAGAAATCGTGCAGGTATACCGCAGGAACTATCATCTGCAATCGCCAAGCGTTCCACAAGAGGAAATGGGCGGCACACGTGTCCCACAGCAACGTAGAGGTTTCGCCACCCACAAGCAAAGCAGAAAACGCAAAAAAAATAAACCTTTGCCATTGCGATGAGCATTGTTTGGCCGGTTTCGTCACCCACCTCGTGCACCACGACACGCACCGCCTGGTGCTGTTGTCGCGCGCCACGCGTCACCTCCACTCCCTCCTCGCCGTCTCCCTCACCTCCGGCACACCGACTTCTCCCCTTGATTCTTTCCCCACGCGCTTTTCCGGCCCCCGCTCCCTTCCCCCTAGCTCCGCCGGTGCGTTGCCGATCCGCCCGCTGCCCATCGCTCACCGAAACCCGACTGGTAGGTTTATCTGCAGCAGCGGTACCTTCCCCTCCCTCGTCAGGCGAGGATGACGATCCAACGCCGGGGCCGTTGGCCTCCACTGCTGCTCCAGGAGAAAGGGCATCGCTTCCTGGTGATCCACCAGACCCCTCCTCTCTTCTTTTACGGGCGTCAAGGGGCGTCTCGTCGGTGACCGGCGAACAACCGCCGTCGCCAACCTGGTCCCCTCCGAGTCGTTGTAGGTCCTGTCCGTAGTGACCCCTCGTGGGCCCGTCTCCGCCCCCTTCGCCTCTGATTGGCCCGCCGCAGCCACGATAACAGTCGTCCCCGCTGTTGGCGGTCCTGATTGCCGGACGACGGCACGGCCGGTTGTTGTTCGCGGTCTTGCTACCGGTATAAGTCGGACTACTGCTGTTGCTCCAAGAACGGCTTCGTTTTCGTCGAGTGGTACTCGCCAAGAGCGCGGCTTGGTCACCGCCAGGGGACAGGGGACGGTCGTCGTCCACCGAACATGACGACGCCGAGGATGGTGATGGTGATAGCGTTGGCCGCAAGGGTGGCAGTGGTGTCCCGTCTGCAAAGATCAAGGAACAGACGCGCGAGTGGGTTGTGTTGGGATAGCGTATATCCATGCCCTCGGTGCCGTCATCCCCGTATCAAAAACGTATTTGATTGCAGGCGAAGCTGGGGCAGGCTGTGGGGGTTGGGGGGGGGGAGTTAGAGTGTTTAGTGTGAAAGATCCGAGGAACGTGGTTCAAAAGACGACCGATTAACATTGGTTCTTTCGCCTTTGGATGGCATACGCACAGCACAAGAAGCAGATCGGCAAAACGCAGCACCCCGCCTCAGGTTGCCGCTATATTGTATAAAGATCGCCGCAGCGCTCGCTCCCTGTACCTTCACTCGCTGCAAGAGCTTGGGCCGAGTTTTCTGGAGGCGGCGAACTTCCGTCCCCACTGCTATCGCGAGAACCAACCGTGCGGCTCATGTTGTGCCTCCCGGAGAACATGTAGGTGGTAGGCCGAGGCAGCAGCACCGGGCTTACGGGATCTTGCATGCTTCGAACAAAGAATTTTCCAGCGGCAACCCCAAGAGATGAGAAAGGGTTGCCGTACAGCAGAGGACGAGCTGTCCGAGTGTTCTTCGGTGTGATCCCAGCCTCGACCCCACGCTCTGTAGCCCTCTCCTCTGTCAGCACGAGAGCTGACGACGTGGGGTTTGAAAATTGGGCCGCGTCTTGCCGCGTCCCGAAATCTGATACAATCAAACCTGCGAAACAGCAGTAGTGGCCGTTACTTCCTTGTGTCCCAGGCCCTCGAATCGAGCTGTGGTGAGGAACCCGGTGCAGTGCGTACGCTGGTGACTGAGACACGGCACAGCGTGCGCTGCTCCCGGGCTGGTAAGTGCAAGGCCAGCCCACAAGACCGACAGACAACACTGGCACACCCTGCCAATGTCGGCCTCCGAATACCACGTCGAAACCCAGAAAAAATTGGCATCTTTGGGGCTGCCTCTGCGGCACGCCACACACAGCGGCCAGCAGCAGTGGTACTGCCAGCACTGGAGTACTCCCTCGCCAGGTTCACAAGGTGCCGGCGAAAGCGATGGTTCTCTCCACGCCGTTCACGAAGGCTTTCAACCTCTCCGTCCCGGTCTGCCTTGCGCCCATGGCGGGTGTATCTGGGGGACGTCTAGCCGGCAAGTGATGTTGATGCCTTTTTCTGCCCGCGTGTCCAAAAAAAGCTATCGGTGCTGTCTGCTTCCTCTACACACCGCGCACCAGGAAAGGGCCGTAGGCCTATCATGGCTTGAGCTGTTCTAGTGCCAATCGGGGAGGACAAGCTGGTGGGGAGAACATGCTTTTTGGTAGAGATCATACATACATGTCTTGATTTTTTTTCAAGGTTTTTTTCTTGAGTTTTTTCTGGAACAAAAAAATGTGTGTCCGCCGAACGCCGACGTTGCACTTTGCACCACGCGCAAGAGGGCATCGTGCCCGTTTGGGTGACGCCGCTGCTGCTAGCGACTGCTGTGTTGCGCAGGAAAGGGCGTGCAGAGCGGCAAGTGCTTCCATGGAGCGTGTTGCTTTTTGCCGCGCCACATGCACATGGCTGGGTGGTGTTCGTTATCCCAAACACTCCATCCCAGGATTTCAACCACAAGCACCGGACCGGGGATTATTGTCCCGATGGTTGTTCAACATTCATGCGGCACAGGTCTGAAAGACTCGCAGATTTCGCAGTTACAGATATCAGGGTAATTTGAGAGACCATGTCGTCGGGACAGCGTGCTTCTGTAGATATCTTCCACTGCCTGTAACTTCTGAATGGGACGGGAATTCGCTGGGAAATCGCGTTTCCTGGCGTGCGGCGTCGATGATCACGGTTATTAGGCTACAGAGTTAGGGCATTCCACCTGTAGTGTCGAAGCCGGTATCCATGGTGCTTTGTTTTGTTCAGGGGGTTCGAGCGTTCCCCCTCAAAACCCAGGCACACGACCCCGCTGTATTGTATGCATATGCATAGTACCGGCGAGGCATGTACCATGCATTAGTAGATCGGGACCCACACCTTATTCAACACACAGTTGCGATGCTGTGTAGGATATATGGTGCAAACATCAACGATGATCTGCTTGGATCATGGGCGACCGACCATACGCAGGTCGGGTGGGCCCTATGTTGCTGCGGTAGTCATGACGACGCACCTGTCAGAGATGTCTACGGTCACTCAGTTTTGTAATTTAGGAGAGACGAACACACACAAGCCCGGCAGCAAAGCTCTGGACATGGAGTGCCGCAGCAGCAAGAATGAGATCGTGGTTGATGTTTCCCCTTCGTCGTTTGGCGATCGATTGATTGTTGAAGTTGAGACCCACCTGGGCATTGTGGGATCGACAAGCGGTTTGTTGTAGACGTCACTGCTAAGGGTTGGTGTGTAGAGCTTACCGCTTTGGGCGTTAAAAGCAGGTGGTGTATAGTAAAGAGTAAACATGGATGTAGGGCGTATGCATACCAAGCAGAGGTCTCCATGTCACACCCCTGCGTTTGCGGCTAGAGTTAGGGAATGAGGGTGAAAGAACGAGAGGATGGACGCCAGAAAATTTTGGTGAAGACTGCTGCTGCTGCTTTGTCCAAACGTGTTTTACGCCAAAAGAGGTAAAATAGGCGCTTGTTTCTCTCAAAGTTGAAGCAGTTTGTCGGGGCTCCCAGAAGCGCCGGTTGCAGCGCAGCAGCAGCTGCTGTGCAGCTCCTGAGCAGCAGCTGCTGCTGCTGCCCGGCGCAGACCCGTGTGAAAACTTGTGATGAAATCGCGTTAAAAAAAAAGTATTGAGCTTTAGCTGTGACGTGGCTGTATGCTAGAATCATCTGCTTGTGTTTTCCCTGCTTTGGAACAGCGTTCGTCACCAGTGCCTGCACCATCGTGCCGGTTTTAAAAACGGCACGTTGTATCTATGCACCGGCAGTGCTCAATCCCTCCCACCGCATCATTGCCAGCTCGCCCCTTCCCCCGGTCTTACCAATCTCCCGATGCTTGTTTGCGTACAGTGTAGACCGTTGGTGTTTGCTTTGATTTTCGAGTACCAGCCGTGAGCGATTCTTTTAAGTATGGCTAAATACTTATCCTGAAACCAATTGGCGGTGGCACAGATGATGGGATAGGGTTACGGTTAGGATGTCCTTATCCCTCTGTTGTCACGCTGGGCATCGAGGCCCTCTGCATTCTCCGCCCCTGGCTGCCTATCCGTCTGCCTGTCTGGTGTTGTCTGCCTGTCTTGACTGTCTGTCGGGCTTTCTGTCTGCCTTTTTTTTTTGTCACAGAGACGGGAGCCATGCCTACGCGCGCATGTTCTCGCGGCACCCAGCGGTGTGCTCCACACGACGCCACACCGACTCTCTGCGGCTGCGGCTGCTGCTGCTGCTGCTGCTGCTGCTGCTGCTGTAGCCTTTTGTTCGATTTCTTGCTGTGGTTCTGTCACCCCCGGCACTCGTGTTACCAACAATGAATACCACCGGCATTTTTCCCTCACAATTCTTGCGCGAACAAATGTTTCTTTTTTCTGTCTTGCGGCCGTCGATCTCATCTCCTGCCCACGTGGGGACACGACACCGCCTTTAGGCGCCCGCGGACAACAACCGCCATCGTAAACCTCTCTGGGTGCGGATGTGCCAGCCCTTGGTGTGGGAAGCTCTGGATCATTCTCTTTTTTCAGGCGCCTTAACTTGAACCTCTCTCCAACCATCGAACACCGCGCTGCGCTGTACCCCCAAACGCACCCCGTTTTTTTTTGTTTTGTTTTTCCAGCCGCTGTTGCGAGGGGGGGCGGGCTTGGAGTGATCGGAGCGGGGTCCGGAAAGAATACCAGTGAGCTAGACGAAGAGGTTGGTCATTGTGAATTTTGCGCGAGCGCAAATATTGATTTTTTTATTTTTGTTTTGCCTCAGTTTGTCTGAGGCTTACGTGCAAGGGAAGGGAGGAGAGTTGGAGTCCACGTTTCGGACATTCTAGAGTAGCACGCCGGTCTCTGTGTCAGGTGGTATGCATACCCTCGTACACGCAACCAGTACTGACTCTATAGGTTGTGGGTTCGAATGTCTCTGGAGTGGAGAAAAAACAAGAATCGCAAATCTAGAGGTGTAAGCGCGCATGGCCGTGAAAACGCACACAAGCTTAGGAATTGGGTTGGTGCTTGTAAGCGAAAATACCAACACGATTTGCGCCACGTGGGGTGCACAACAAACAAAAACATCACGGTTCGTAAGAAAGAACGGCACACAACATCTATCTTGACTGAGCGTGCTATCGAAAAAGCAAAACACTTCAGCGTGGCCTGCCTCCCTTATGCGACCGACCCTGGAGCGAACCGATTGACACGTGCTCTGAAGTAATTTTTGCAGTAAGCACGACGTTTGACAAACACGTTCTGAAGCTGCTGGTTTTGTCAAAATTCTATGACGGTCGGAAACAGGTTCGGTTGTTCCGCGACGAAGCACCGCTCGGCGCGAAGCTTGCCCTTGGCATCATCTCCTGGTCTGCCCTGGGCGGAGACGGTCACGGAGTCACACAGGTACAGCCGTGTGGAAAATACCGTAGGTTGCACAAGATATCACACCCCCTGGAAAGCGGCGACGGTGCCGAAATTGGCGGCGTTGGAACGGTCTCGTCGAGAGCTTTCCGACAAGGTATACTTCAATTTCGGCATCCTCTTCGTCGTGGAGTAGTCGAGCTTTGAAAATCGGTCCAGGGGTGTGGTATCTTAAGGAACCTACGGTAGACAAACACAACAAAAACGAAACAGCGATCGTCTGCACTTAAAAATAACGTTTAGTTTTGGCCGCAGCTGGGTTCCTACGGTTGTGCTACAGTTGGCCCCTATATTGGTTTTGGTGGGGAGTTGTCGACCGGGCTCACGAATGCGTTCGCGCGCATGATTGTTTTTACGTTTTCTGTTGGGTAGTTACACCCTTTGGCCACCGAAGGCGCGGACCTGTAATGGTGTGAGAGGGTGGTATGCTGAGCAGAGATCGGAACGATACGACACGTGAAGACAAGAACAGCAGTACGGCCGTGTGAATCGCTTTTTTCTGCTCTTTTGGGGTAGTGCTAGGTATGTAGTTGTAGCCTGTGACCACGGAAGGCGTCCGAACCAGTTGGACCAGCACGGATCTTCGGAGGTTTCTGCCCCCTCGCAACACTGCTCCACTGCGTAACCCGTCTACCATAGCAACGCACCCACGCAGAAACCCGTCCACACTATGTTCATGCCTCGTGGCGATGATTGCTACGCACCAGAAATGGCCATTCCCGACAAAGGAGGATACCGCGTTACCAGTAGTTTTAGCTGCCCTTTTTGCCCCTCGTACACGACGTGCCTCGGGAGTATGCATGCATACAACACAATACGAGGCGGAAGGATGGTTCGATAATTTTTTTTCATGGAAACCAAAAAATTCCAAATGAACGATATATACAGTATACAGATGGCGCCCGCACTTAAGAACCTCTAGTTTCGGCCGAGGCTGGGGTTCTTATTTTGCTGATCATTCTCTTGCGGGCTACGAATGGCCGCTATATAGGTTTTAGTGTAGGGGATCTTAGCCGGGCTCACAAATTCTGCTCAAGTTCTTAGCTTGTGTTTTTTTTCTTTTTCGAGTCTCTAAGCTGCTAAGTTCTTGTGTGCGGGCGCTCTCTGTATTACGACCAGGCCTCCCTCCACGGTAGGAACACCAACACCCGGGCTTCAGCAACCTCGGTGGCCGCCACGGCAAGGGCAGGGGCGGCGCAGGCCGATGGGAGCGCGAGCAACGGCACCCTCGGCAGCGGCGGTGGCGGCGGCGACGACAAGGGATTGCGGCGGGATAGCAACACCAGCAACGGTGGCTCGGCGAAGGAGGCGGCCTGCGACACGTCGGTGCTGCAGACCCTGCTGAAGCGGTACCGCCCGCACGCGATCTGGTTCTTCGCTCCCTCCACCCCATGTGCGTGCGTTTCGAGCGCCGTGTTTTTTCTAGCGTGGGGTGTTTTTCACAGGGGTGTGTGTGTGTGTGTGTGTGTACTCATGGCCGTGCAGCGGGAGGTGTGTTCAGTGGGATAATACTCATGGCCGTGCATGCCTTAGGCGTTGGAGCATTGACCTAGCATCCCTGCAACGGCCGGGACCGAGCGATACGCCGGGTTCTCACCGGACCAGGTGTTTTCGGGGGGGGGGGAGGGGGGGTGGCGCCCATGCGACTTTGTTTTTTTCTCGGCTGAGTGATGGGAAAAGTGTCTTGTGTATCCCATGTACTTGGTAGTCTAACAATCCCAGGACTAGCGATGCCGCTACCTTCCGCAGACCCCCCTCCCTCTGACTCCATCGCCTTTTGTCCCTTCGTGTGCGCGCGCGCGACTGTTTCCCAGCGAAGGAGGCGTACACCGTGTGCCAGGAGATGGGGGTGGAAGTTATCGCGCAGGTGCGTTCGCGCGTCGTTGATGTGCATACAGTACAGTGGTGGTCCCGATATACCGTACCGTACCGCGGTGTAGGGAGAAGCATTTTTTCCGCGGTATATCGGAACACCGCACTATTGAATGTTGGGGAACGAATATATGTAGTATGGTAACCAAATCCCGTGACAAGCGAGTTTTACCGCGGCGTATCGGGACACTGCACTTTTGAGTGTTAGGGAACCAATATATAGCGTTTATTATCGTAGCCAAATCCCGTGACGAGCGTTTTTTTCGGTGGATTATCGGGACCCGCTCTTCTCGGGACCGCGGTATGCCGGGACCGCGGTGTGCCGGGACCACCTCTATACATACAACACCCCGTTGAATGATCTCCACACGGAGAGCCTTGTCGACCTGTTTTCTAAACGCGAAGTAACCATGGTGACGGAGAGCTCAGAGTGAACCAGTGTGTGTGTCCCACGTGCAGCCCAAACCTTGCGAAGGTTCAGAAATAATGAAGGCAGGTCCGGTGGGAACACCAAAAATACTTGAGTACGTAGTGTCCTGTTTCTTCTTGTCAAGGAGCAGGGGCTGTTGATTGGTTTGGGTACAACATGTCGCGGCGTCGTCGCCGGTACCATCTGCGTTGCCCCCTCTGAATGGTGTGTAGGTGGGCATCTTCGTCGTCGGCATGGACCGTGCTGCTGTTGTACTGCTGTAGCCGGCTGGCCAATGAAAATGACGTCAGTCTCAGTGCGGCTTGAAATGTGAAGGCAAAGGCCATGATCTGGGAGGGGTCGCTGTGGTGGTGTATATTTGTTGTCTTCACATCAAAAAAAGAAAAAAAAACGTTCCGATCTCGCTCTACCCAGTACCTTCGTATGTCCGTACTGATCCAACACTCGACGCGGTCGATGTGTGTGTTTTTATTAGTAGCATCGACCGCGCTCACCAATTGTTGTAGTCAGTCTCAGTGCGGTTGAAAACAGAAAATTCTTGCATAAACTCCGTGATCTGGGACTCCTGGAGGGGGCGTCATGGGGGAGACAAAGCTTCTGTGAGTGTGTGTGTGTTTTTTGTTTTTCAACGAAGTCAACACCCTCTCGTGCCACCTGCCACGACAGCCTACCTGTCGTCAAGCCTTCTCCTTTGGGCTATTTTTTTCCTCAACTACCTTGGTCCGCTGTGTCATCGTTTGCACGTCCGGAAGCGCCTTGCAATCGATGCCCCCCTTTCTCTTATCCGTTGACCGAATCCCTTTCTTGCTGATGATGGCGTTTTTTTGGCAAGGTGGGGACGGTGGGTCAGGCCCGAACGGCGGTGGAAATGGGCGCGTCCGTGGTGGTGGCCCAAGGTCGGGAAGCCGGAGGCCATGGCCTCAGGTGCGTCGACGTGTACCGTACCATATTGCTGTACCGTGGGTAACACGGGATACCGCACTCCCTGGGACGAACTTCGAATCTTGATTTTCTCCACGACGAAGAGGATGTCAAAGTTGAGTTTTATGCTTTCGGGAAGCTAGCTGGTTCCAGCGTCGCCGTTTTCGGCACCGTCTACTACTGTTTCCTTTCTTTTTTTTTTCCCGGCCATGTATGTAGATACACCCAGACGCTGTGGGTCGGTTGCCTTTTTATCGCTCTTAGGTGCTGCCGCTGCTATTTATTAGGTATTTTATCCTCGTCCAGACCCGAGCTCTGGTTTGAAGCACTTTCTCGCGTCTGTTTTTTTTTTTCCGCGTTTTGGGCTACTGCTACTGCTAACCTATACTTCGAAGTATTTTCTTCCTCGTCCGAATCCGAGCTCTGGTTTCAAGCACATTTTCGTCTCTGTCGCTTGTTTGAATCGCGTTTGGCTGCTGCTGCTGCTGCTGCTGCTAAATTAGTACAGTCGTGGCTCCGATATAAGAGGGTACCTTGTAAGAGGGGGCCCCGATATAAGAGGGTCGAAGTCGGTTGTCACAGACTCGACTCGCTATAGTGTAGTTGGGCAACCCCATGTTCCGGTATAAGAGGGGGCTCCCTTACGAGAGGATCAAGGGCCTTTTTTCACACTACCCTTTTGTATCGGAGCCACGATTGTAAGTGTAATCGTTTTTTCCTTCTGTTGCGCATCCAGACCCGAGGTGGCACGAGGCGTCCTTCCCTTGGCAGCGGCAGTGTCGGTGGAGCTGGCGGAGACCGGGAAGCCGGTGCTCGCCGCTGGGGGCATCGTGAGCGGGAGGGGCCTTCTCGCCTCCCTGGCGTTGGGCTGCGATGGTGTCGTCATGGGCACCAGGTTAGTCAACCACGGTGTGCTTTGTTTGAGGTGGTGGTTGTGTTACTGTTGGTGGTGGTGGTGGGCTTACTCATAGTCGTGCATGTCGAAGTCGTTAGACCATTGACCTCGCATCCTTACAAAGCCGGGACGGAGCACGCCGGGTTCTGGTAGTGTGTGGGGGCGTGTTGTGGTTGTTGGTTGCATTGCTGTTGTTGTTGGTTATAGTGGTGTTGGTTGTTGCTGGTTTGGGGGGTTGTTGTTGTTGTTGTTGGTGGTGGTGGTTGTGGTGATATTGGTGGTATTGGCGGGGTTGATTTGTGTGTTACGTGGTGCTGTGTTTTCATCCGGCTTTCGTATGCACAAGCAGTCCCCGTTAAGCCTGAGAACCTCTTTCCGTCTATTGTGGCGTTTTTCTTGCAGGTACTGTGCGACGTACGAGGCTCTGGGAACCGACGACCACAAGGCCAAGATTGTCAGCACCAGTGAGTTTTTTTAGTGATAGTTTGATTGATGTATCTTTCTTTGCTTTTTTGTGAGATTTCAAATATTTCTATAATAGTGAGATGTTGACTCTTTCGTGTGAGATTTTGTTTTACAATTGAGATTTTCACTAATTTTTTTATGAAAAGAAAGACCTATGAAGACAACAAAGATAACCATATGGGGGGGCACAAGAAGCCACTACGGGTGCAAGGAAAAAACGTTGGCCGTGTGCAGGGCTCTGGTCTCCTCACCCCCCTTTGCCTTTTCACAACTTACTGCATGTTGCACAAGACACTGCAACACCGCGTGGACCGATTTTCAAAGCTCGACTACTTCACGATGAAGAGAAATCCGCAATCAAGAGGCGCGTTTTCGGAAGCTCTGTTCGAGACGGTTCCTTCGCCGCCAGCCTTTTTTTGGCACCGTTACCGCCGTTTGTGCCGCAGAGCAACCGCACTTTGAGAATCTGGACTTTCATCTGTGGATAGAGATGGAGGATTCGTTGTATTGCGTTATACTGAAGAAAGAATGGCCTTCGCAACATTTTTCGTTCAAGAAAACATGTTGGATAATGTATGCAGTTGGGGGAGTAGGGCTAGGGTCTGTTTACAACCTCCTCCCTCTTCCATTCCCTCATAACCTCAATTTCTCGCGGAGACGAGCCCAAGGGGGGGTGTGGTGTCTAACGTATGCCGCCTCCCATGGCCAGGCGGAGACGAGACTGTGAGGACACGAGTGTTCGACATGGCTGCAGCGGTCCGACCACACAACCCCGTCTTGTGGCCCGAGCCCTACGACTCCAGCGGGGTGGCTTGGAACGACTTCACGGCGAAGTGGCACACCCGGGAGGCCCGGCTCGAAGAGGACCTGTCTGACAGGTGTTGTAATCAAGAGAGAGACGCAAACGTTGCCGGTGTGGTGTTGTACAGGGTTAAGGGCTCTTGTGTAGTTTATTCGAGGTGGTGTGTGCCGGTCTGCGCTGTTCGCATCCAAGGTTTTGGTGTGGTTAGTCGAAGTCAACGGTTGGGGTAGAGTTGTCGCTGGAAGGAGGACCTGTTCGTCAGGTGAGGGAGAGACACAAGGTGCCGGTGTTCGCCGTACAGGGTCAAGGGTTTTTGTGCCGTTGAGGGCAGGTTCTGCTGCCTGCTTTTTTCATCTTGCGTCACCCCTTGGTGACACTGTGCTTTCATGAGCCCACTCCGGAGGACTCACTTGTAGCATTCATGCCCAATACCCACGCTATTTCGATTTACCTCCCCCCTCCGTTGTCACTTCGTGAACTCGGCAACCAGTTTGCCGGTTTTTTTTTTTGCCTCTGTTTTTTTTTTTGCGGTAACCATGACTGGTGGTCAAATAGATCATGTTGTACGGGGTCGAGAAGCCTCACTCCGCGCAAAGGGGATGATCGCACCACGTTATGTTAAAATGGTCAAGCATCCTCGAGGCAGTTACACAGTACTTATAACTGTCTCTGGACGTGATAGCACTAGAAAATAAATTAAGTCATACGCAGCTGTCATTCGTAAGCCCAAGATGCCGAGCACCCTTACCAGGATGCAGCGCCCCTTTCATGGGACTCGCCGCATACCTCAGGGCGTTTCGCGTTTGGTGATGTGAGACCCTGGTCCGGTGGGACCCCGACGTGTTCCGTCCCGGCTTTGTAGGGGTGGGGGGTCAATGTTTTAACGACTACGGCATGCACAAGTATGAGTACACCCCCCCCCCCCCTCCCCCGTAGTGTTAACTGGGAGACTAGAATTTGTTGTACAACCTCCTCCGCGTGCGCCCCCCGCTGGGGGTGCCCGACGACTAGAAAGTAGTTTGTGTGCACGGTTTTATCGCGATATTTGACTGCCGTGTTGCCTTCGGTCAGAGAATTGGCGCAGTCGATTCCAACTGAAGATTCACACACGTTCGATATGATTTTTTTTCCTCGCAAAAGCTGGGGTGGAGCAGTCCAACCTCGGGTAAAGATATACACACCTGGATTTTTGCTGTAAAAAAGGGTCCTTCAAGCGGGGAAATGTCCTTAGGGTTGATACCCCTCCGTATGTTGTACATTCTGCGAGCCACCATGCCTGCGAAAAAGAGTTGTCCTTAACTGGGGGAGTTTTGGTGTCCTTAAGCGAGGCACGACTGTGCTCTCTTTGGTAAGCCAGTTGGCGACGTCGATTTCAGCAACACACACACACAAACATCATGGGGTCCCAACTCATGGCCTTAGAAGCACTTTTTGTTTCAACCGCACGGAGATTAACGTCTTTTCACCGGTCAGTTCTTGAATATGAGACACACGTTTACCCTTGTGTGCGTTCGTTATGATGCGTGATGTGTTGCGATAGGGACGGCGTGACCGGCCACTCGAGGCCGACGGCGCAGCTTGAAGACGCGGAAAGGACGAGGGACTTGTCGGTAAGCCTTGGCCTTTCTTCCCACTGCTAGAATAGTGTGTTAGATTTGAACTTCCCGTTGACCAACTTGTCGACGGACACCTGCTTAAATCGTGGGACATTGGATTTCTAAACGGACTTGATTGTGAGCCTTTCTTCCCACTGTTGTGTTTAGTATGAATTTCATTGTGTCGGGAATGAATTTCATTCTACCGACATGTCGACGGACGCCGCTACTTGAATCGTGGTACTGTACATCAAGTTCTAATCGGACTTGCCGGCAAGTCTTTACTTTCCACTGCTGCTGTGTTAGAAAATGAAGATTCCCTTGACCAACTTGTTGACGGAGATCGCTGCATAGATCGCGGTACAACGAGTCTATTGATCGTAACGACAGAATTCCAACAACAACGCACGTTACCACTATTACACTCCTGTTTATTCACTTCTTGGTGCGCTTGCTTATGAGAAATATTGCTCCGAAGATCGCGAAAGGTGTAAATGGAAGCGGTACACAAGGCGCATTGATCGTGACCCCGCTTTGCCAATAACAATGCAAATACTTTTTAGAATCAGTTTGTTTCGTCTGTACATAGGACAACAACCGAATTTTTTGTGTCTTGGTGCTTGCTTCTGTTTCTTTCTCGCTTCGAAGATCGCGAAGGTGTACATGGGGGAGGGTGCGGGTCTGATCTACTCCGTCGACGCGGCTGAAAAAATCACGAGGGACGTCGCCAGGGAGGCCGAGGAGCAGCTGGACATCGTCAACCGACTCAGAACGTGAGTGGATGCGATGAACGTAAGCGTGAGAGTAAGTCTAAATAGTTGGTCGTGTGAAGGGTTACAGGCACATGCTACATATTGAGTGAATGTGTTTTGCTTCTGCTGCTGACCCTCCCCTCCTGCTGCTGCATTGCTTCTCAACGTTGGTTCTCTCTTTCACTTTTTTGTGAGTGATTCCTGTGCTACTTATAATTGCTTTTACTTCGGCTACTTCCCCTCGGCATCTTTCGACTGTATCTACTGTTGATTCTCAACCTTTTTTTTTTTTTGTATGTCGTTCGGCAGTGAATGCTCATCGTTACAGACACAAGGACCTTGCCATTAACGAGCGAAGGGGGCACGCCGGCCCATGCACGGTAGCAGGGGGATCGCCCTTCTACAGATGATACACGAAGAAACCCTAGATCTAGATCTCCTCAGATCCGTGTCTTGTGCTGAGGCACGTTTGACGTATCTCTTTTTGGTGTGCCTTCGATAGGGATGGGCAGCTTGACATGTTTGCCTGTACTCCGACGCATTCATCTCGTCCTAGGGATGGGTGAGAGAGAGTCGTTCACTGTAAGGCGGACGTGAACACGCTCTTCATGTCACATGCCATCCACAACTTGCCTGAACGAGGCGTGGGGGTCCACCCGAACCTTTTGTTTTCGCCTGGCACTCTCTGATACCCTAGCAAACGATTTGGTTTCGCCTGGTCCTTCAACAAATCTCTTTTTCCCTTTTTTCCTCACCCCAGGACATGAAGATCGACTGCTGTATGTTGTATTATTTTAAGTATAAGCTTCGGTATTTTTTTAATTGCCTCCCAAAGTTACGTATTCCTACGACCTGGCCATACAATAAACTCGATTTTTTTCGCCTGGTGCTTCAACAACTCTATTTTTTTTCCCCGCCCAGGGACATGGAGTTGGACTGCTGTACAATAAAACTTTACTTGTTTTCGCCTGGTCCTTCAACAATTCTACTTTTTATCCCCGCCCAGCGACATGGAATTTGACCCCCCTCCGAGACCACGCGTATCGGGAGGAGGCGGCAAGCCCATGTCTCTCTCCGCGAACAACATCGACGACATGGATCGTTGGGGACTGGACTCGCAGGCTACCGTGAGGGTCAAGCGCGCGAACACGGTGTCGGACCTGTCAAATCCCGTTCGGGCGCCGGGAACCCGCCAGGTAAAAAGTTAAAAAAGAAAATAATGAAACGAAAAAAGTGCAAAAACAAAATGTTCAAAAAATGTTGAAAATTTAAAAATAATGAAAATACCGCGGTATGGAAATAGTAGAGTGTAAGAGAAACTGTGTGTGGATGAAAGTACAAGCTTTGTTTCTCTAACCTGAAGTTGACCGCGTTGAGAAGGTTTTGAGGCGGTGGTCATTACTTTGCCTGTTCGACTGAGGTTAGAGTGTGTCCCGCGCTTTTGCGAATTCACAGTTGGAATATTGAAGTTCGAGCGAACGCACGGGTTTGCGATCATCGTTTTTTTTCTTTTCTCCGTCTCTCCACAACCAAGAAGAGGCTGCCAATGCCGAAAAATACGGTTTTGGACGTGCCGAAAAGGGTGGTTTTGGAGGTGCTGAAAAGGGTGGTTTTGTTCGCATATCGATCTCCTCGAGATCTGTCTTCCCTTTCGCATCGTGTCGGCGGGTGTTCGATAGCACCCTCTTGGTTGTAGAGCTTTCAATCGATCCAACACACCGATCGCCGTTCTGCGGAATTTTGCCTGTCGGTGTGTGTTGCCCGCTTTGTAACCGTAGGAAGGGGAGAGATGGAACCCCCCCCCCCCCCCCC